TTTTAAAAAATTTCGATTTAAGCCAAATCTTTCGATTTATTTTAAAAAATTATTTTCGAAAATTTTACGGGTCCCTGTTTTTAATATAGTTTCGACAGTTTCAGTTTTCGTCGTATCTCTTATTATGATTTAATATAGTTTCGTCTAAGTTTCGACTGTTATTATGAGGTTTCGTCCCTCATCTATAAAGGAAAAGATTCGTAAGCGCTAAATTTTAATTTCTCCTGGACCTTTGATGCATTTAATTAATGTTATCGACCTTTTTTTTCAAGTTATCCTCCTCTTTGTACTAAAATTCTTATATTGACTTAATAAGGATGAAGAATAAAATCTATGTGGTTATATAAGAACTAGACTAGGTAACCATTTAATTACTATCTCAAATTTTTTTTTTTAGATTCAAAATCGCGACATTTGATCAAACATTATTTAACTACGAATAATGAAAGTGTTAACTATTGTGTTCCTGAAATATTTATTTAAGATTGCACGACACAATATGTTAGTTTATAACTTTGGGATCTTTTTCTTTTTGGATAATATCGTTTGTATTTTTTATTTATTTATTTTTTTTTTTAACTTAATAACCTTAATAGCCATGATCCAGGTTTTAAGCCAAAAATCACACGACACGACTTCTTAATGTCCTTGGATTTGTCATTTCAGAAATTCAGAAGAATTACCAAATTAAGATCATTCGATTATATGTCAATGAAATGAAACAACTTAATAAAAAAAAATATTACAAAATTATAGATGTTTCGAAGTATATGCATAACTTAATTCAAATATATTATATAGCATATGGGTTTCGTCGTCAAATAGAAATGCATCATAAACCAAAATCAATAATTAGGGTGGTGCATTTTTATTGATTAATGATTTAGGTAATGAGTTGCTGATGATGAATTTCCTGAAGCTAAATTAAGATACGAAAATTGCTAATATAATGATAAAGTGTTGAATAGAATTTACGTAAGCTCTCAACAGGACTCAATAGGTGGCTGCATAAAAAAATTATACATGATTTAAAATCATTTACATCAAATGTCATTATCCGCATCTCTCGTTTCTGAATTAAGCAAATGAGTCGAAGATCTGATGTGTGTAAACACACTTAACCCTTTATTTTCATCCTTTCATAGGTGAGATCCGAAAATTCGCCTTCGTGATCATTGCAGGATTTGTATCTCCCAGAGATTTATATTTAGATCGTCGGTCATCATCGAACAGATTCATCTCTTTATCTGAATGAACGATATGTGAGAGTAATGTCATCCATTATTATGTAAATGGACACATTATTAAGAGCGCACACATATTTTATAATTCAATTTCAGGCTAAATTTTCATTGTTACTTATCTCTCTAAACATAGACTATATTCATATTTCAGTTTTGGAGTAATTGTGTAACACCGTTCAATTTATAATCTTAAAACAACTTTATTTGAAGTTTATTACAGTATTCATTAGCATAAGATATTTAACGTTATAAGATAAAAAAATAAAATAGAAAGTCAAGCAATTGTTGAGAAAAACATGTATCTATAATCAAAGGAAGAAATCTATAATCAAAAATTGACATGGTATAAGACTTTGAACAGAAAACAGGTCATTCTTACCTTATTTAATAATCGTATTCTTACTCGTCATTTGTACTTGAGGGAACTTCATCTCCACTTTCTTCGTCTTCCAATATGTTTTGTTCAATTTCACAGAAACCAATCTCTCTCCTGTAATCAGGTGAATGCCAAAGTGTATCACCATCGGGAATTTAACAAAGTATTTGCTATTGGATCCTTGGATAATATCTGATCCTTTGTATAGATGTCGTGCAACTCTTTGCATTGCTTCTTGAGCTAGATGCTTGGAGACGAAACTGCGACATATTATCGAATACTTGCTAGCTTTATAAGGGGAGAAATATATCTTCAAGGCCCAGATCGTGGTTTTCTTATCTGGAAGTCGGAAAAGTATAAATTTTTCGGTTCGCTTCGTCATATGAATAAAAGACAGCCTCATTACTGTACCTTTGACTTGAGAGGTCGTAGCGTTGGCTTTAGAGGTCGACATATTTGGTTGTTTGCAAAAAGCTAAGTAAACAAAAGAAACTCGTGGCTTTTTTTTTGCTTCATGATCCCCATATATATCATAGATCATATGACAGGATTTTCATAATTATTTAATTCTGGCCTGCACTATCAAAATTTTAATTTGACATTCGATCTTAGTAATAAGATTCGAAACTTTAAATAAAAACTCTCAAAGAAATTACAAGAAAGTAACTGAGTTGAATATTTAAATTTAAAAATTTTTTTTCGATAAGGCGTGAATTAGGTGTATGTCTACCGCTACCGCAAATAATATGCAGATTCTTAATTTTTTTTTTTTTTTGTTTTTTGTTGCAGAGATCGAATAATGTTTGTAGTATTGAATCGTTGAATTGCTCTCGACATTTTTACCCAATCAATTGTGTAAAATTTTATGCATATATTAAACACTGCTAAAATCAAGCTATAGATCATTGAGCAAAAGAAACTACATTGTAATGCTACACATACATAATATGTAATTATGTATAGAAATGTAAGCAGTCTCATCTGCAAAATCTATATTGAAATTAAAATTTTCCTATAATAACAAGATTTTTTTTTTAGTAAAATCAATCAATTTAGTGTCATATGCTTTAATAAAAATTCATACTTACTATTTATTTGAGTGTTGATTTATAATTCTTTAATTTCACGCTTACTGAAAAAAATTTTCAGATGAAATATTATTGAATCGTTTTTATTTTTGAAATTCCAATCAAAAACAGATTCATAAATAGAAGGTCTATTTAAAAGATCAATATCCCAACACATTTTCATTAAATTAGCATAACATTCAGGAGTATCCTGTGTAATTTCAGGTCTTTAATCCATCATCATGTTCAAAATTAGCAAAAGGTTTACAACCAGTTGTTAGTTCCCACATAATCACGGCCAAGCTATAAACATCAAATGCTTTTGAAAATGAAGCACCATTAAATATTTCTGGCGTAATATAAAAGTATTACTCCATATACAGTATTTCATTTTTAATGAAGTATTATTTGCAGGTTGCGTTAATACTAGATCTCCAATTTACATATATGTATGAGATTTTATCATGAATATTTTGAAGTCAAACTTAAAAATAAAATTAGTATTAAATAAATTATTAATAAATATAAAATAGTATAGTATATAAATAATGTACCCGAATACAATATCACTAAAATTTTTAATTCATTTTCATTAAATTATCTTGATTCCATGATATTCCCATACATAGTCCAAAACTTTCCATCATTTTGTAATCATCATCAAACCATTTGACTTTATTGATCTTGAATCCATTCTCTCGAATGATGAAAAAATTTGTTCGTTCAAATGATATAGAAAATCATTTAAAAGTGCAAAAAGTAAAATTCATACACAATATTGGATTTTAAAGATTTAGATTCGATGAATGTAGGAATTGGGTACGTTATGTTTGTTAAGATGTGTTAACGCGATAGAATATTTTCTAGGAATTAGAAAATGTACATAGAATTCTGTCAAAGAGTCAGGAGTACTTTTAAGTTTCGATATCTTTGTATTCCTCTATTGATGTTAGTTTGCATTTAATTTATCACCACTTAATACATTGAAAGTCGATTATCTGATTTATTATTCATTAAACACTACACTCTATAAAAACGTATTGTAAATTTTTAATAGTTTATTATAAACTTAGTTAAATTTTAATGACATTTTTACCAGTGTAAACTTTTACATAACCTTTTGGTGTATCAGGAATTGTTGTATCAACAAATTATTTATATACTTGATGAAATTTCAGTCTTGTCCTTAATAATGTTGTATTCAGTTCATGAATTTTTAAACAAATTTGTAAGTAAGCAGAAGGTTTTTATTGAATAATCATGAAGTATTCGTGACAAAATATTATCAAATTAATCAGTGTTGCCTCAACGCTCTAAACTTACGCAATGTTAATATGTTAAACTAAGTAAACTCTAATTTATTAATACCGCGCAATTACAAACAATTACCGAAAAATTGAATAATAAAATAATAAGAAAATCGGAAATTAAAAATAAACGAAGTTATAAATACGAAATCTAAAATGTTAAAACGGCGAAAGCGAAAATATCTCGAAGGGGTTAAAGGAAGGTTTTGAGGGTATGTATGCAAAATATATTAAGGGCGAGCGTGGAATGTTGAGCTGTTTAAGGATTTCCGGCTCGTATTTATAAAAAAAAATATTAGGATCTTGACATTTTGTCATATTTGGCACCTTGACATGACAGCCTGGCAAATGATCTTCAAAAGACTAACTGCAAATATCGAAAAATGTTTTACATGCGGAATTATGGTGTTTTCGAGCGAAATTATATTTAGTGTAACAATATACAGAAACGTCTGATAAAATCCGAATTATAAGGTTTCTTGTTTTAAGTCTTTAGACATAAAAAGTGAGCACAAATCAATCAAATTTCAAGAATATTCCACAAGAATCATTTAAAATGTTTGAAACTCCAATGGATTTTAAAATCATTCCATATAGTGGTTTGAGAATAAATCATCAACTTCAGTTTTCTTATAACGC